GCATGTACTACCATGCCCAGCTGATTTTTTGTATTTTTAGTAGAGACGGGGTTTCACCATGTTGACCAGGATGGTCTCGATCTCTTGACCTCGTGATCCACCCGCCTTGGCCTCCCACAGTGCTGGGATTACAGGCTTGAGCCACCGCGCCCGGCTTTAAAAGAATTTAAAACATTCATGAGGCCAGGCATGGTGGCTCATGCCTGTAATCCGAGCACTTGGGAGGCCAAGGCAGGTGGATTACCTGAGGTCAGGAGTTCAAGACCAGCCCGGTCAATGTGGTGAAATCCTATCTCTACTAAAAACACAAAAAATTAGCCAGGGGTGGTGGTGGGTGCCTGTAATCCCAGCTACTTGGGAGGCTGAGGCAGGAGAATTGCTTGAACTCGGGAGGTGGATGTTGCAGTGAGCTCAGATCATGCCACTGCACTCCAGCCTGGGCAACAGAGCAAGATGGTCTCAAAAAATAATAATAAATAAAATAAAATAAAAAACACTTATGGAATTATGCTTCCTAGATTGTCAAGCAATAATCCGAGACCAATCCTCCCTCATATAACAACTATGAACTCTGGATACAATGCAAACACAAATATCTAAAGGCTTTGGAGAATGAACCAAAGCAGGCAGACCTAGGAGGGCACAGACGCATGGAAGAAGGGACCTGCGCAATGGACATAACTCGATGTCAACGGTTTATAGACTGAGGACAGGCTATACTTGGAATCCAGACAGGAAGCCTGAAACTCTGACAGAAAACCCACAGTATTTCTGGACTGAAGAAGCAGAAGACAGAGTACATAGCAACCAAAGACACTGAAAAGTGAGAAGAGAGTCAGAGACAGGAAGCCCCAGAATCTATGAACTACATCCGAGGGTCTAGTTGACCACCAAACCACTCCGGTGGGGCAAATTCCAAGCAGCCAAACTAGAACAAAAAGAAGTGAGCAGAGATGTAAGCTACCAGTCAAGAAACCACTAAATACCATTAATTGCCTGGTAAAACAGAAATATTAACTGTCTTTGGAGGTATATAACAAAATTCATACTTTCAACAACATAACAGTAATAATGTCCAGGATATGATTCAAAATTATTTGACATATGAAGAAACAGGAAAATGTGCCCCCTTTTAAGACATAAAACAGCAGCCAGGTACGGTGGTTCATGCCTGTAATCCCTGCACTTTGGTAGGCCAAAGCGGGCGGATCACAAGGTCAAGAGATCGAGACCATCCTGGCCAACATGGTGAAACCCCATCTCTACTGAAAAAACAAAAAAATTAGCCGGGCGTGGTGGCACGTGCCTGTGGTCCCAGCTACTCAGGAGGCTGAGGCAGAAGAATCACTTGAACCCAGGAGGCGGAGATTGCAGTGAGCCGAGATTGCGCCACTGCACTCCAGCCAGGCGACAGAGCAAGTCTCTGTCTCAAAATAAAATAAAATAAGAGCAAAGATGATCAACCATAAGATCTGTCAGATATTCAAATTAGTATATGAGGATTTCAAAGCAGCTATGGTAACTGTGCACAGTGAGGTAAAGGAAAGTATGTCTACAATGAATAAAAGATGGAAAATATCAATGCAGGCCGGGTGCAGTGGTTCACAACTGTAATCCCAGCACTCTGGGAGCCCGAGGCAGCAGGATCACTTGAAGCCAGGAGTTCAAGACCAGCCCAGGCAACATAGTCTCTACAAAAAAAAACAAATAAATTCCAGCCTGGGAAACATGATGAAACTCTGTCTCTACAA